AAATTGACCAATTTACCCTTGAATCTTATCCACTCCTATCTCATGTTTGGCTTGAGAATTGTTGGTTACAACTTTTTTTTTTTTGATCATTGTTGGTTACTAATTTAATATTGTAGAACATTTAAGAATGCTTATGCATTCACCAAATACCTGTTATTACACGTTAATTTTATAATACGCTCACAAATTTATTTCATCTGCCAAATATATTAAAATATTTAGGGAAAAAAAATACCTGAATATAGAAAAAACTACGTCACAACCTAAATTCACATGAACCATAGTAGTAATTAATGATTTTTTTTATTTAAAAATTAAATGAAGAAAAAATTATTTCCAATCACCAAAAAAAATACAAGAAACCAAGATGGAAACAAACCGTATACAAACCTAATGTTAAAAAAAACAAAACTTGTGTTACAAAGGAAAAATATATACAACCAAACACGTAAAGTGAAGCTGTGTTATCCTTTATCAATAAAAAACTGAGCACATTTTTGTTTGTCGTCATTCAACTGGCCGAATTCCAAACCATTCTTTACAATTTTCACATGCACCGTGGAATCAGCCACTTTCACAAATTTACAATCAACTACACCAGATTGCTCAAATAACCGCAAACCATCCAAATAGCCTCCCGAACGCAGCCTCCATGTTCCAACATATACCATAGATAAAAGTGTCATCCAAAAAACCGTTGTCTTAAAAAAAAAAAACATTACACAAATTTAAGATATCGTGATTTATATTTTGAACATTACGCGATATTACTGGTTGCCTTAACCTATCCTTACAAAATACGGGCAAGCATCCACTTTTAGGATCCAAGTAAGATTAAAAGAAAAGAATTCTATAGATAAAACAAAAATCTTCCCAATCATAAATTTGATTCATCAGTTTCAAAAATTCCGAAAATGCAAGTGAATTTAGAAAGCCAACTTGTCTAGTGCTAAAGATTACATCCATCCACGAATAAATGCAGATTTAACTCTCCGTTTGCTCCCTGACCCTTCGAATGGTGCTCCTAACAGTCACAGCACTTGCAGTGTTTAACGTGTAACCACTATAAATAGGGGAAAATAAAAGAAAAAGAAAAACAGCAATAGTAAGGCCTCCACAGAAAGTTGTTCAGCTGATCCCATGGCCCCAATTTCGTTTATATAGAAACAACGATGTACTCATAGTCCAGAAATCCTAATGATCCTGATATTTTGCTCTAATGTTTAAATATTTGATATCTTGAAAATATTTAAACATCAGATTCTCAAAAAAAAAAAAAAAAAGGAATCGGTAGAGAAAGTTATACACAAATAATGGAACTCACTGTAGCCATGTGCTTTTTTAGCACCCAGCAAGGTTTCAGACGTTAGCCATGGAGGAAGAGAAGAAGAGATAGAGAGAGACAGAGTAATGAAGACAGAACTGAAACTTCTCCCCAGTTCAAACGGAAAAAAAAAATAGCAACATCGTTCAATTTTTCTTGTTGGAATCATCTACTGCTTCACGCCAAACAACTGTTGCCTTAACCAAAGTAACTAATGCATAAAAAAATACAGAGGCAAGAGATAGAGAGACGAGGGAGAGAGAGAGATTGGGCAATACCTTCGGCCGAAGGGGACACAAGGCGCCATTGTCAAAGTTGGAGGGACCAGCAGGTGAAAAGGAAGGGAAAGGAGTAAAAACCCTAGTCTATTTACTGTTTAATGAACAATGCAGTAATTTTGTAACTTATCCAGATGTTGGGCTTAGAAATCTCAATCTCCACGTGGGTTTCATGCATCCGGATCACGTGGGTTAAGGGCAGTATATCATACGGGGCCGACTAGTTTAGCCCAACGAAAATCCAATCCCAAATAAAGAACCCAAAGCTGGAATATATGACCCTCGATTATTTTTATTCAATCTAATTTGTGATATCCACCTTTATCTTTTCAAACAAACACACCCATAAGGTTTATACAAAGAAATCTAGGGTTTCTAAAGAGGGGCGGGGCTCCTCTGCTGTTGGATAAAAACAACAAATTATGCTGTTTGTTAAAACGCTACCGTTTCAATCAATTTTGGCGTTAAAATTTCTCCAAAAACGACTCTGGAAAAACACTCTCTCTCTCTCTTAACATCCCTCAGCCAAAAAAAACTCTAAACTCTCTTTCTCATGGATATAAACTCTCTTCTGCACCAACTCTTTCCATTTGTACAAACCATTTCTCCCTCGCTCTTTCATTTGCAGGAACTTGGGTGAGCAGCAATGTTGTGCTTGCATTTTCTATTTAAAGGGGAGTGTAATACTGATTTCTATAAACATGAAAAGAGAGGGTATTTTTTTTGTCGGGTGACAAACATTAATGCTCCGTTTGGTAGGAAGGATAAAAAGTATGAGTGATACACTTTCTATTCTTCAAGGATGAAAGGTAAAAATTATACATTTTATTTCTTTTGTGTTTGGTTAGATGGATGGAAAATAAAAAAATGACTCATTTTTGTTTTAATTTTTTTTGTGCTGACTAAGATTATAGGTGATAATCGAGTCATATAGTGTCAAATTTGTGTTGAATCATAAAATTATGAGTCTTTTATATTTTTTGTTTGCGTGTCAGGTCATTTTGAAGTTTGTGTCATAAAATTTGTGTCGAGTTTGAGTCGTGTCATCATGTTGAGTCGAAAATTTTCACTCCTAGTTAAGATAGAAAAAATATTTTTTTTAATTTTAATTTTTAATTTTTAATTTTAGTTATATATATACATATATATTTTATCATTGTATTTTTATATAAAATTAATATATATATATATTATATAAATAAATTAGATATATTTTAACATAAATAATTAATTTTTTATCCACTTATTTTTGAATTTTGGAATTTTGGATGGATTGATTTTGATGAATTAAAAACAAAGTAAATCTAACTATTTTTTCATCATTTTTATTTTGTTTAATTTATCGCCGTATCTTTTCACCCGTTTATCGTATTAAACGGAACATATGAGAGAGAGAGAGAGAGAGGTGGTTTGGGGTGGGGGGGGGGGGGGGGGAGGTTGTTCGGGAGTCAGGTTTTTGGTAAAGACTTCTTATCTGACTGCAGAGGTGCTGCGCCCTTCTATAGGGAGGTAATCGGTGGAGATAATACCAGTAGGTAGCTCCACCATTCACTACCACGTCTAGGTTTATATAGAGAGAAATCGATAGAGAAATAACCAAACTCCACCATACTCTACTTGCGAACGCTATGGGATCCAAAAACAAGATGAAGAAAAATACGAAGAACGAGGCTGAAACAGCGGTAACTACCACCGCCACGAAGACAAAATCATTACGGACTCTCGGTTCGCGTCTGTACACTCGGACCCAAGGTTCCGGGAAGTTCCGCAGCAAAAAACAAAGGTGGCGATCGACTCTCGGTTTAATCACATGTTCAACGACAAGAGCTTCTCTTCGTCCAGTGCTCGGATTGATAAGAGAGGCAGAATTGAGAAGGAATCGTCACAGAACCCTCTCAAACATTATTACTGCCACGAAGAAGAAGAAGAAAAACAGAGAAAACGCCAAGAAGAAGAGGTTGAAAGTGAAGAAGAGAGCGAAGACAGTGAGAGTGAGAGTGAGGAATTGAAGCAACTCGGTGAAGAATTGTGTCTCTGAATTGAAGAAAAGTGAACCAGAATCTTCTGATTTGGTATCGGAATCGGAGGAGGATGATGAAGAAAAAGAGGATGATGATGATGTGGAGGAGGATTAATCTTCAACTAGTACTACAGATTTGGAGGAAGATGAGGTGTATTCGGAAGGAGAGGATAATTTTTTGCAGGTAAGCTGTTAAAGATTAATTTATTTTGCCACAAATTCAACGCCGTAAGATGAACAAGTTGAAATTCTGTCTGTGGAGCAGGAAGAAAATTGATGGGACTCTTCTGAAAAGCCCTATGATGAAGACACGTGTCCTCGGGGTGCTAGAACAATGTTGCTCGGGTTCAAGCACCATCGGCAAGGCGTCCTCTCCCCCGAGGTACCTCTCATATAGGATCACATATTCGGTACATTTTACAACAACACGTGTCCTCGGTCACCGTGTAGCTCGGAAACATACCGCCCTCGGTCCCCGGGGTGAGTCTTTCCTCGGTGCCGAGGGTCACTCCATCCTGGACGCTTCCTCTACTCCCGGATAAAACTACTGACGTACGGGACATCAGCCTATGCCAGTCTAGACTATTCATCATAACCTCGTCTTAACACAAGTAATGTCAGAACACGCTGGAATACCGACGTCACAGCCAATAAGGGATGGACGCGTGGCAAATAATGTCACATCAGAAGCAGACAAACCGCATGCCGTCGCTGACACGCGACTTGGGAAAGCAAACAAATTAATTGCACCCTTCTGTTGACGAGACCGCATTCAATGCGGTAAGGTTCGGATATGAAAGGCAATAAATGCTCCTATTACAGAGCATTTATTGCATCCTTCCCGAAAGGATCATATTGTACCGTCGGCGTCCCGACGACTCAGAATTGATTGATCGGGACCCCGAGCAATCAATTAGAGAAGACATTCCTCATCAAATCAATACACACGCTACCTGTGCCTGATGATTACCTGCTGATCACACTGACCGCAATCATGAGCTTCTAAGGTATAAATACTCCTCCCAAAAGGCAAAGCGGGTATGCAATCAAAAAACTCACCACTACAAAATATCCTTATCAGTGTTTTCTCCTTCCTCTCTCTCATTCAAAGACTGACTAGACCGTCGGAGGGGATACGCCGGAAAACACTCCGGCGCCCTTCTAACTTGTTCTCTTTTGTTCCAGGAGATACCTTTCACACGTACAGGATCGTTCTTCCTTTCCCAGGATCTTCCTTTGCCGTTCCAGGTTGCCACCGTTCCTTGTAGGCTGTTTCAAGCAGTGTGTTTGACCACTCAACCGGCTCACCCAAAGTTCACCAAGAGAGAGATCTGTTCCCAATATTTTATACATCGTGCAGGATCTAGCCCGCACAAAAATGTACCGGAAACTAACAAAGAAACCCACAGGCTTGCTGTCGTCAATTTGGATTGGGGTCAAGTGGCGGTTTGTTATTGAACTCCTGTGTAATTGAATTTATATTTTTTTGTTGGAGTACCCAAGGTTTATAGTTGAAGATTGTGAACCAGTTTCAGGTATACTTGGGATATTTAAGTGTTGAATTTTATTTCTTTTGAAACAAGCGGTGCTTTTTGAAAAAATTTACGGATTGTAGTTCGCACCTTCACAATGACTTTTAATTGAGCATATAGATGGACTCATATTGCTGAATCCAAATGATTGGGACATAAGGGATGGTTTGGTTTGGTTTACCTTCACAGTCACTTCTTTTTTTTGGAAAGAAAACTGGTTTCACTTTTTGCTTGTGGGTTAGCGACAGCGTGGCAACTCCAATAGTTTTATTCCTACGGGAACAAAGTTTAGTAAAGTTTAATTTACATAAATGGTGAAGATGGTGTTTCATAAATCTCATGAATTCTTATCTAGCTCACGAGCAACGAATATGAATGAAGTATGTGGAAAATTTATGAAATATTTTCCTTTCTTTCCCACAATCATTTATCCTCAATATTTAGAAATTTAACGAAGAAGTTTTGGGAAAAAAGTTAGGGTACTGCATATTACCACAAGTGCAGTCACTTTTCAAAGAGTTGAGCTATTTTCATCTATAGTTTTGGTTTTCTGCCTGCCCTTTAATGTTACTTATCAAAAGACACTGCACTTCATTGCAATAAAGAATGCCCGGATTGCACTGTCCATGGATGTGCCGTTCATTTTTCTTCATTTTAGCTATTGGGATAAATCCTGGGGGAGATCCCGGAGGAGTTGGCAAGTTTTGATCATATGGCCTCTCCCCCTTGAAGTGGGTACATGTAGCCGAGCCAACCCTTTGTATTTCATACTTATCTTTCTTTGGCATAGGCTTATGTATTCCGAAGTGTAGTGCTGATGCTGTTATAATCTCACTTTGCCTCTTCCAGGTACTATTATGCTGTAGTGGAATGTGATTCTAGTGCTACAGCAGATTACCTATATAAAAGATGTGACGGGCTTGAGTTTGAAGGATCATCAAACAAGCTGGACTTGAGGTTTATTCCAGATTCTATGGAGTTTAAGCATCCTCCCCATGATGTTGTAACAGAGGTAAGTTCCATTGCATTTTCATCATCATGACTGTAACCACAGTGTTCCTGTTACTATGTAACACTAAGAGGAACTCAGTATAATGTTCCTTGATTGGACTTATCCAAAAGAGTTTTGAGCAAAAACTAATGATTATCATTCCTGAAGAATGCTCCAATTAAAAAGTCAGGCCCTCGAAGTTACACATTAATAGTTGAAGTAGTGTCGTAAGTGTAAATAATTGTGAGCCCCTAAAGGCAGGACTCTAGTATCCCTTAAAGATCTTTCCTGAGATTTGCCTACCAAGAAAAATGCAGGTGCCTTATGCTTGCCGTCATTCTGAAAGTTTGCTACTTGCATGACCACAATATAGGCAGCCTGTTTTTAGTTATGACTATGTTTTGGTTGGATTTATATTTTGGGTTAATCTCATTTTGCACCCCGAAAGATCGTTCGAATCTCAATTTACACCCTCAAAGATAGAAAATTATATCAATGTACACCCCTAAAGATCAAAAATCTCAATTTGCACCCTCAAAGATAGAAATTTGTGTCAATGTACACCCCCAAAGATCAAAAATCTCAATTTGCACCCTCAAAGATAGAAATCTGTATTAATGTGCACCTAAAACTAAATTGATAAATTATACCTAGATCCCCTCATGTTTGTCACTTAATCATTTGAACCCCTTCACATTTAGAATATTACCCCTACATCTCATGAAGTTTGTACATGTGTAAACATAACCACTTTTTGTTGATATCTATTAATATAATCGTTAAAAAATATGATTTTATCCTAATAAAAAATTATAATTTCATATTACCCTTTATTTTGTAGATTCGATATATTCTAAAGTTCAAAATCAAGCTTACCATTTGAATGTCTAATAGAATGTAGATATTTATAAAAAGGAAAATATGAAAAACATTATATAAATATCTACATTTTATTATACATTCAAATGGTAAGCTTGATTTTGAACTTTAGAGTATATTGGACCCATAAAATAAGAGTAATATGAAATTATAATTTTTTATTAGGATAAAATTATATTTTTTAACGGTTATATTAACAAATATCAATGAAAATGGGTTACATGTTATACGTGCATAAATGTCATGAGATGTAGGAGTAATATTCTAAATGTAAAGAGGTTCAAATGATTAAGTGACAAACATGAGAGGATCTAGGTATAATTTATCAATTTAGTTTTAGGTGCATAATGATACAAATTTATATATTTGAGAGTGCAAATTGAGATTTTTTATCTTTGGGGTGCACATTGATATAAATTTCTATCTTTGAGGGTGCAAATTGAGATTTTTTATCTTTGGGGTGCACATTGATACAAATTTCTATCTTTGAAGGTGCAAATTGAGATTTTTGATCTTTGGGGGTGCACATTGATACAAATTTCTATCTTTGAGGGAGCAAATTGAGAGTTTTGCTCTTTGAGGGTGTAAATTGAGATTCGAACTATCTTTCGGGGTGTAAAATGAGATTAACCCTTATATTTTTCTATAATTTGTTTTTGGCTTCATGTGGATCTTAAATATAAGAAATATTTTTTCTTTTTCTTTGATGTTGTCTGGCCATTGCAGCTGCAAGATGGTCTTTACATTTATATTTTCAAAACAGAAAATTCAAGGGTATCACTGGCAGTTCCTTTTGGTTTGGTTTTCTTGCCTTGCCCACCCTGTCTCAGTAACTGTTAATTGTTGTTGTTGAAGGAATTAGACTGATACAAGCTATTATCATTGGGAACATGCATACATCATTCTGACCTTTTTTGATATCATCTTCCAACATATATGTAATCCACCAGATAATACATGGATACCTGAACCAAAAAAGGAAGTCTTGGGCGCATGTGACTTACCATTTTTTAAGGATACAGTATTGTGGATAGATTGTTCAGCATAATAAACTTTTATTATCATAATTGGGATCCTTAGAAGAGATTCATTGGCGAACCTACATTTACATCTTTGACATGATCATATGCTAGCAGATAGTATCTTTTTTTCTCTTCAAAATATGTGTATATCCAAATACGTATATATGAATTTTTTGCTGATCAACTGTCCTTATCATTCATTTTATGATAGTGAGTAATTATTAATCCATCTGAAGTCTATTTTTCCATAACTATGCCAATTTTTAGATGTTTTGGTACCTTCAATAGAAGTCTGCATAGGAGCTCTAGAATTATACAATTTTAAAACTGCTGTAATAAATATTGAATATGTGAAATGTAACTTCAATAAAAGCAATAAATATAATGGGGTGGTAGTAAAGAAAAAAAATCAAGAGGCACCACAGTGAAAAGTTTCAGTATTTTGGTTTGATATTCACAAGGAGGGTGAGATTGGATATGACTTCTCATAACTCAATATAGAGTAAATGAGCAGTGTTTCTGGTGTACCCTGATTGACATAGCCATCTCAAGCCAAAAGAAAAGTTATACAAAACAACCATGAGACTACGTTTTTTTACCTGGGCGGCTTAGGCGTATATTAAGCATGATTAAAATACAGATGTTAAGAAATTTGCGTGGTAAAACAAACTAGGGTAAATCAGAAATGAATGCATTTGCCAAAGGTGATATCCAATTGCATCCATGAGGTAGCATGATGTTATTTCATTTGACGGCATCACTAGAGGTAGAGGAAGACCAAAATTAACGTTGATCGGAATAGTAATGAAGGATATGAAAGCTTGTGATTCAATAAAGAACATGGTTTTAGATAGAATAACATTCTTGGACAAGATCCATGTAGTTGAATCCAAATAATTCGGAGAAGCTTAGTTGGGTTGAGTTGCCTATTCTTCTTTTGACTAGAGTCTTACTTATGTTCATATTTTAAGCTCTACTGAATGATGACATCTAATCACATTTTCAGTTCCAGGCCCCCCTTTTCATCTTTGTCTCCCTGGGGAGAAGAAAAGAAATCATGGCCCCTTTTGCATCAATCTTTAGTTTTTTGTTTAACTCATTTACATTCTTCTTGGCTCCCTGACCACTCTTATTGAATTTGTTGCATTGAGGAGTCCACTTGTATTTTATCTGTCTAAGGATTCGTCTCTGTGCTGTTAGAAGTCGGGAGTTTTGCTGCTTGTTACAATCTATCAATTACAGTGATAACAAGAGACTATAGCAATGGTGAATACTATTAAAAACCTAATAAAAGAACTAGTTTAATAATTATTTTGTGTTATTCTTACTCGATTGCTATTTTTTCACATCTATACTTGCACGAATCATCGTTTCCATACAGCTTAAGGAATTGGAGTAGGAGGAGTTTCTGACTTCTGATCATAGTGAAACTGATGAAGGTGAGAGTGATGATGCCATGGCAGATAGATCTACCAGAAAACATAAAAAACAAGACAGTACCATGCTTTAATCCAGTCTGGGGATGGTTCAGATGGAGATGAGGAGGATGGTGGCCAGGATATGGAGGTCACTTTCAATACTGGTTTAGAGGATATAAGCAAGCAAATTTTAGAGAAGAAGGATAAGAAATCAGAAACTGTCTGGGAGGCGTATCTTAGGAAGAGAAGTGAGAAAAAGAAAGCCAAGAAAAATAGATCCAAGAGCTCATCAGAGGATGATAGTAGTGATTCTGATTGAGAACCAAAGGAAAAACCTGATGACTTCTTTGTTGATGAATCTCCTGTTAAAGGAACTAAGGTGGCTCGAGCTAAAAGTGCTCGCAAAGGAAAGCAGAATCAAGAAACAGCCGAAGAAAGCTGAAGCAAGTAGAGCAGAGCTTGAGTTATTACTTGCTGATGAAAAGGGTGCAGATACGAGCTTAAAGGGCTACAATTTGAAACCTAAAAAGGCCAAGGGGAAGAAAGGGAAAGGACTTCCAGATGAGGGCAAAATACCAACTATTAACTATGATGATGCACGGTTTTCCCGCTTCTTCACTTCACCTCTCTTTGCCTTGGATCCCACAGATCCTCAGTTCAAAAGGTATTTTGTTAGCACTAACCTAACGATTGTACCTCGTTTTTTTGCCAATTACTGGACTACTTGAATATGCATCTTCTTGTTTAGATCTCCTGATCATCATTAAAAATTTCATTTTCCGAAAATTTAATCAGACTTGTCTTGAATTCACTGCTTGCTCTACGATCTACTTTCTTCATACGCTTACAAAATGAATTTGGATGTAACAGGAGTGCAGCTTATGCTCGGCAGATAGCACAGAAGCAACAGAAAGGTAACCAGGAAAGTATAGGGGAAGAAGATCATACAGTGTCAACTAGGCAAGCTCAGTTATCTGATACCCTGGAGACTAACAGAGCTGAGCAGTTGCGGTCTAACGGGTTGCCCTCAGAAAAAGAGAAGCACGAGCTCTCTCATTTGGTTAGGTCAATTAAGATGAAGTCCAAGCAGGTTCCTTTGCCCTGTAACAATAAGGTGTCACGGAAAAAGGACAGATCACAACTTAATACGAAGGCAAGAAAGTGAGACACATGGGTTCTCAATTTCGGTTTGTTCAGTTACGAAGGCTCTGAGTTCTCTAAAATTGGAAGAATGGAAGAAAATTTTGTTTCGAAGTCTCTTGTTGGAGTGCGGAAATGGCGCCAATGTGCTAGATCATGCTGTTAAGGCAGTCTTACAAGCAGGGTATGGCTGCAAATCCCAAAGGCATAGAATGTACCATCTCTTTAAATGTATCATGTTTTCTGGCGGATTTTATTTAATGGTAAATTAGAAAACATGTTGCGCCATGGCCCCCCACAACTTTTTGAATTATACATTATACCCTTTAAATTATATTTTGATCATATTTTATAAATCACTCAAATTCTTAAAATTATAATTTATACATTAAATTATTATCTTGATTTTGTTTTATCTTCTCGACTATTGATTAGACCATTTTGTACTACTAACTATTAAAATTGTGAAATTTTGTATAAATAGTTAAATTTTGGTATTGTATATATTTTTAAATTTTCAACTATTTTAAATTATTAATGATGCAATTGATTTGACTTTTATATCTAATAATTCAACTAGTTTTGATTAACTTTATTCATTTTATTGAAAATAATAATTATATTGTACTGTGTGAGATTGAGTTTTATGTGTTCTATGCACGTAAATGTCATAATATTAATGATCTAATTGAATGATTCACTTTAAATAAAAATACATTGTTATACCACTATTCGGCCCCTCAAGAGAAAATCCGGCCCGCGTATTAGCATTGAGAGTCAGAAAACAAATTCTACATTCATTCTCCTATTTATTATACAGAGAGAGATGCTGAGAAACAGTAGTATATTTACAACTCAGGATGGAATCAATGCTGAAAGTCCTAATAAATAGGAAGCACGCAATGGCTCAAATATTGTGTGTAATACACCTCATATTAATAAAAATACATATAATGATAAAAAAAAGAAAAGAAAAAACCTCATGAGGAAAGAATGATCAAATAGTGGGTCGAAAGAGAAAAAAGAGCCAACAGAAGTGTGTAAGCAAAGGAATTCAAGCGGCGCGAATGGTTCCCTGCAGATGGTGGTGGCGGTGTTGAACTTGGAAAAGGGGAGCCATTTCCATTTCCTGATGTGGCTTCTGGTTTGACGGTGGAATCGGGAGGACCTGCAGGGGAGCTTCGCGGGCTTACCGGTAGAGTATTGAAAGTTTTGGCATCATAACCTGGGTACAACAAATCCCAACTCACTTAAGAGAGAGAGAGAGAGAGAGAGAGTTTCAAAAAACAAATTAATAATGAAGAAACAATACTCACAGTCAGAACCCTTCCAACCCAAAACCATCTTCTCACGATCAAAAACTATACGGTAACCGGTCATGAAGTTCTCTGGATAAAAACAAAACAAACAGATATTGTCAAGAAGGAGTCTATTGGCGTTTAATGTACAGGTTATGCTACATCCACCAATTTTTTTTATCCCAAATTAATATGAACTATAGGACCAGTAGGTTCCATAAGTTTTTACTAACTATCCTATAATATGAACTATAGGCCCCGTAGGTCCCATAAGTTTTCCCTCATTATCTTATAACTCTCAATTTGTCACATCATTTGAGATATAAAATTTGATAAAAGATTTGGTGGACATAACATTTTCCTTAACAAACACACACAATCCATAGATACTACGCTACCAATGATACTTCAAATATAAACAAATGCAGCAAATGACTTAAAAATCAAAACAAAGCAATGATCCTCTTTCAAGTTACGCTCCTCTGCTGTATCTCAAGAATCACATCTTATGCTCCTCTTTCAAGTTATGATAATATTGGGAGTACCCATTTAACACCCCCCCTCCTCCATTTTCCCCCGGTGGGTTTTGGAAGGGGGAGGGGGGGGGGGAGGAGGGTGAGATAGGGTTAGCATGACTGTCAAGAAGAATGCATAACTACCATAGGCAATAGAGTATATTTGACAGGCAATAATCTGTTGATAAGAGTGTGGCTGGAACCATTAAGTTTGTTGCTTTAAGCAAATATCATATGGAAATGAAGTCCTCGTTAATGTAAACAGTAAATTCCATTAAGAAAGTAATATGTAACAATATACTCACGTCCAATGATATTTATGTCCTCACTTTTGACAACACCCAAACAATATACATAGCCACCGCCCTGGGAGAGTATTATCACATTAGTAAACATCCCAAGAGAAAAGGAGAACGATATTAAAACGCAACAAATGAAACCTTACCTGAACACTAGTTACTATTATTGGATCGGTAATGTAGAATTGGGTTCCACCTTCCATAGTTAGATTGACATCTGGAACCGAAATCGTAGTTTGATTTGCACTGCATTCAGAGGATGAGTCAGTCCTTGAGGGTTCAATCAAAAAGTCACACAAACAAAAAATATTTTCCATATCAGATTGACCTTAAGTCATAGCAATATTCAAAAGGAAGACTGGAATCAGGTGGATGGCGTTTGTCTTTGGTTGCAGAATTGAACTGCATAATAGCCAGAAACATCCTTCTTATTAATACGAAGCACATGGTTAAACTGGAGATAAAATACCAATATTTACAGTCAGTATGACTTACTTTCTCTGATATAACTGTATAAATTGGGTCGTTCAAATAAGTAAACGAGGTGCCGGAGTCAAAGATTGCATTGAAATTGAGATCAGTGACATTTTTCTCCACGGTTATTTGTGTCACGCTGATATTGTATGTCGGACTGGTAGTGGGATTCAGAAAAATATATGAGAACAAATAGCACATCATTTTGCCAAAGCCATTAAGAGTTGATATTCTGCACTTAGTGAACGCCGAACGGCGTTATGCAAATAACAAGTGATAACCACTATAGTTGGTCCGTATTATTAAAGCAATAACTTACTGTAATTGGCCAATATTGAATGGTGTTTCTCCTTGGTCTGAGGTGCCTTTATCTCCAAAAACGATCCTCCCCAGTCCATCAGGCCCAAAACACATAGAGAAAGAATTTGCAGCAAGTCCTCGACTTGCTAAAACACTAGGAACAGATATAGCATCCATACCAAGCCCAAACAGACCATTGGGAGCTGCACCTTCCAAAAATGTGCCAGTTTGAATTATTCCACAGCTGAAATACAAGGAACACAATAAGTCATAAGGGCCAGTGGAGATAATAATTCTCTACCTAAACATAGGCCTGAAGAACAATAGATTAAAGTGGTACAATGTAAAAAAAATAATGACCAAACTCAAATCAAACGATAAGAGAACCGATCATTCTCAAATCAAATGATGGGTAAAATAATAAGTCCAAGAAATTTCAAGTTAGCATGATCAAAATTTTGAAACAAAACTGATCTCTCGCCATCATTCACTGCTCCTCCTCTTACCCTGACCCCCCTTGAAAGAAAATTATCTTGACTACGCGTCAATACCTTCACTAAGTGATGATGTTAGTCACAGGCAGCCAGACTGGTTTCCATTATGCTAGAAGCTTTTGACAAACACAATATCGGGATATAATACATACCCAAGTGTAATCTGTGCATCAACATCTTTTAATGGGCTATCATCTGTGATTAAGTGCAACGTATCCTCTACCAAGATCCCAGTAGACGAAGTATTACTGGAAAGATATACAACTTGATATGCACAAGCTTTCCTTGTCGTAGAGCACTGTCTTCTTTGTTGTCCACACATGGTGCTGTTGCAGGGAACTGTCATGCTCGTTGATGATGTATTAGGGCTGTAAATATTGAAGTCTATCTTCTGTTTTAAGAAAAGATTACAAGAGCTACTGGTCAATATAGCAGTTACAATTCAACAAACAATTGAATATCCTAAAATATCTTGTCATCTACAAACTTGCTAGTTGCTATCCAAGTTTTGCATATTAGTTCAAAAGAAGAAAAAGACCTAATGAACAATGTCAACAGCACTGCCATACATTGCTTAAGAGTTAAGGCTTATCAATTAATTTAGAACTTCACAACTGCACACATTGTCTGGTAAACTTTGAAATCTGATCAAGACAAGAAGCAGATATATTGAAAATGAAGTCTATACTTCGTCAAAAATCCATTTGATAGTCGACACATGAAAATTTTCAGTGACCTGTCCTTCCCCTGTTCTTGCAGAATATAAACTAATCAGAGAACTGAAAAGTCATCAGTAATAACCATTACAAAATGCGCTTTGTATTGGTCATGTCATATAATTTTCTTCAAAAGATTTCTCAAACATTGAGAAAACAAATGCAAAATCACTCAAACAATTTAAACATATTTTCTGAGATAGCAAAAGCTGAAAAAAAATCTGGCTCGAGTAACAAGCTCCTACACTTCAAATCATAAGTTAAGCCGATAATAAAAGATCATGAGAAAGGTTAAAGCTCGTATTTTCTTTCAAACATGCATTTTTCATCTGAAGAAACTACAGAAGTCAAACAGATTAACGTACTTGTCCGGATCCCCGCACCAAGCCACGTACACAACTGGTACAATCACATGGTAACCAAAACAGGTCGCTGCCAGTGTCAAGTGCCACCAGATATGACAAACTTGGCGTGCCAACCGAGACATTCGCATAATGCAAACTGAAAATTCCCACAAAGATATTGAAGAAGCAGTTATTATTATATGAATCATAATAGAAAAACCAAGACCCAAACTGAAACCATCAATCAAAGAGTCATTTTTGTGACCTTTGGCTGGATTCATTGACTATCGAAACTGGAAAGGAAGGAAGGGAAAGAACAGGTTGAAAATATTAAAGCTTGATCTACTCCCCTAGTAAGTTCTCTCTCTCTCTCTCTCACACACACACACACTTTTTTTTCTTAAATTTCTAAATATTTTCAGAATTTGCTTTTGCTACGCATATTTAATTATTTCTTGAATAAGAGTTTGATTATTACGAACTGTATTTCCCTTTGCCTTGCCATTTTCTTATCTTTTCTCAGACAACGAAACAGAGAGCACTCCAAAACTCACTGAATCTCCCAACAAATTCACCACTAGTATCACTCAATTCTCCTATAAACCAAAAAATCGAAATAAAGAACACAAAATCATCTATAATTAAACAATTAAATCAAGTAAAAAGGGCTAAGAAACCATACAATCCAAAACCACTGATTCGATAAGTGTCGTTGCCTCCATCGAAAGTGAGCGGTGATGAGTCAACGGTGTCGGCAAGCCGGCGACCACCGTGTCTCCGTATGAACTGATCACGATGAGCCATAGCTGAGTAGTACTCCATACTACCTTTCTCAGGCAATCCATCGAGGTCCAAAATTCCTTTCACCGGATCGGAGTACCTGTGGTGTACATCGAACCCAAACGTCCCAAACGCGTCGCCACACTGCGAACCCCAAACAACTATCAACACAACAATTAACAACAAACAATTACGGCGAATAGTCATTGGAATTGAGACAAATTTCTCGAGAATTCACAGAAATTCTCCGAAACGGTCTCTCTTTTATATCTAGATGTGTATGTGGTTAGGGAGAAGATCTATACATAAACTATATATGCACATATAGAGAGAGAGAGAGTAAAGAAATTTGGGGGAGAGGACAGGAGGTGAGTGTTGACGCGTTCTCACCTGGAAGAGTTGGAGGGTCTTTGGTCGACGCTTTCGTCTTGTTTTCAAATTTGTTTCTGGCTTACAAAAGTCGACGGGTGGGTGAAAACGAAACCGTAGACTAATGTGTGTGTGCCAACTGGGGTATTGGCTAATTGGGAGGGAGGGGGATAGGGTAGTTATTCCGCATGATATACTCCTTGACTGAAGGTGTTACCTGTTAATGGAAGAGGAACTTTGAATTCTTGGTTTGTTCAAGTTTTGTTCAGTTTTTTTTTTTTTTTTTACATTCTACCCCTTTAAACTATTACCTTTTTCACTTTGTACTTTTAATTATAAATTTTTCCATATTGTACCTTAAAGTATTAATTTTATTTTATATCACTCTAGTTTATAACGAATGTCAATTTTTTGACGATAAATACACGTGTGAGTGATTTGTACTTTTAATAAGCAACTACCTATTATATATGTGTTGGTCCAAAATCAAGAAAAATACATATCCATGACTTTATTCTTCCTAAACTCTAAATTTTTTTTCTCTCGTCGATCTTCTTTTTCCTCCCAACAATTATTTGATTGCAAAAGAGATAAAATAAAGTGGTATTAGACATTTTATTTGGAGTTTTT